CCAATTGAATTGGTTTGGGCCCAAATAAAAAAATTATGTTGGTGCCAATAACTCCACGTTCAAAATGAGTGACATAAAAAAATTATCAGATGACGCAATAGCATTAATAGACGCTAATCGTTGGAAGAAGTGCTGCGACCACGTAACACGCGAAGAAAATACCATGTGGAATTTGGATGACATCATGGAACTTGCAGAACAAAATTCTTTCATAATTAATGTTACTGGAGAATCTAGCGATACTGATTAGTGATTTAAGTAATTTTAAGAAAATTTGTTTCCATTAAACTTAATTAAATATTTGAAAAAAAAAAGAATTTTTACTCCACTGTGAATATACCTTTACCCTGTAGTTGCACTGATGACTCACTATTTTCTTAACGCGAACGGACTATAGTGTTTAGTATATTTAATTGTAGGTAAAAATAGTTGTAAACGTTTTAATGTATTTTAAAAATTATTATTTGATAAATTATAATAGCATCGTTCCTACTATAACTGTTGCGTGGATGGATACTAAATGAAATGACCAACAAAAGAATTCATCATTCTTTAAGTTAGCGAAGAATTTTAGAAGGAAGTTATGAAAAGGTGAATTTATAAATTTTTTTTTGTTGGATATGTACTTACAGCAAAAAAGAATTAAGTAATAATTTGGTCTACAGAAGAAATACCTAAGTACTTTATCACAAAAATTAGTTAAAATTTACTTCACTATCCAAGTATTTACTTACGTACCTATACTTGTCTTTTGTAATAAAAATATTTTAAGTTATAATAACAAAAAATACTGAAATTAAAACTTTGTATACTAACAAGATTTTTAACTAATAATCTCATTTCTAGAATAGATCTCATTTCTGTTAGGAATAGTAAAGGGTGTCCAGTGGAACATTTTCAACTTTAAAATGTCATATAAAAAAACTACATAGATTTTATTTATTTTTATTAAAACAAAATGTACAAAATTAATGCGGATTTCATTTCTTAAACACTATATCATTTAAATGATGACCGTTTTTTTGTACGCACTCCTGTAGTCGGACCCTTACATTTGCAATCACGCGACGGCAAAGCTCTGGAGTAATGCTTTGAACTTCACGACGAATATTGGCCTGCAGGACTTGAATTGTCCGGGGATTGTTCTCATAGACCTTCGATTTAAGGTATCCCCATAAAAAAAATCACAGGGCGTGAGGTCGGGTGACCTGGGCGGCCATGAGATGTCTCCGTATTTGCTGATCAGTTTATTTGGAAAAATTGTTCTTAACTTTTCCATCGACACCCTAGCTGTATGCGGAGTGGCACAGTCTTGCTGAAATTGTGTCCTATTGTTATAACCTGCATACAGCTGTAATTGCGGTAGCAGAAATTCGTCTATCATACGGCAATACACCGGAGCAGTGACTGTTTCTCCTTGGTTAAAAAAATAGGGCCCAATTACACCGCTAGCCGAAATGGCACACCAAACTGTGGTTTTCAAGCAATGTAAACGTTTTTGGTGGCGTTCTCTTGGGTTGTTCGGGCACCAGTATCTCATATTCTGTTTATTTACATATCCATCAATGTGGAAATGTGCTTCGTCACTAAACAAAATGTTTCCCAACGTGGTAGGTGTTCGAAAGCGTTCCAGCGTTGTTCTCGCGAAGGTTTCTCGCAAAGGATAGTCACTTTCGTTGAGACTCTGAACAATTTGCATTTTGTATGGATGGAGTCTTAATTTCTTCTTCAAAATAACATGCACTGTTGACTTTTTTGATTCCTGTGGAGGCTGCAATTTTCCTAATCGACTTGCGTGGATTTTTAATGATTTCATTTCGAACTTCAGACACACGTTCGGGCGTTGCTGCTGATGTTGATGGTCCTGGAGGAGTTTTGTTGAGCGTTGTCCCTTCTTGCCTAAATCTTTGTACCCACGACCAGATAAGTTGCGTGCTCGGCCCATCACTTAAACGCCGAATATTAAAATGAGTACAAAACATTCGACGCGTGCGAATCAACGATTCAGTATTCTTTAGATTATTGCTCAACCGTGAACGAGCGGTGCGCTCCTGTCAAGTGACTCATGGCTACTAACAAATCCGCAAGTACCGCGCTTTTAATGATACGCCTCCCGCCCACCTCACCCCGCTATTATTTCGACAGTTGCACTTTAAAGTTGAAAAATTCCCGCTGGACACCCTTTATTTCAGATTTATTTGTTGTTTACACTATCTACCTATGTGGTTGGGCGGCGGGCCTTAGGGTTGCCGAGTCCGATTCCCCGGTCGAGCCTTGACCCTTCTACGCGAGATGTTATACTAGATGGACTGTATACGCGGTAAGCTTCATCTGCCTCAACAAGATGGCAGAGGTGTCACGCGGTTCCTTGACAATGCACTTGCTCTTCCGAAATCTATTGTTTGCCACGGTTATGAAGGAATCCTGCTTGAGCACATTAGGAGAAGTGAAATGGAGCGGGTTAGCTAACAAACAAATACTCAAGCAGGCATTGAGTCATAGGACAAAGAAACACACTTACCGGGGTGTGACTTCGATGCGGCTTGGACGCTTCTGTTGCTGCGGTGCGACTTCTGACGGATCTCCTGGGGCCCCAGGGATGCGGTCCTGGCCGGTGGTGCGATGGAAGAGAGCGGTGCGCGACGTTACTTCTGGCGCTCCACTGCTCCAGATGTGGTGCGGTTTGAACGAGGGGAGCGTGAGCAAGAGCCCTCTAGGACGCGACTGTCCCAGGCGGTGTGATTCCAACTAGCGGCGCAAAGGCAAGAGAGCGCTCGAGCCCAGCGCGCGAGCTTATATCGGCTTCTTTCCCACCGAAGTCGGGCGCTCTTTTCATTGGTTGCGAGAATCACGCAACATATTAGAATCTCTTCTTTCCCATCTCACCCCACCACCCCGGTGTGTACGGAAGGGATAGGTCGAAGGAAGGACAACGCTTGGCAAGCATACCCTCGAATAAAATAAAAAATACGAATGGTTTTCCGCGCAACCACTGTGTCTTCCGAACCAAGCGTTGCGATTCCCGACGAATGACCTTGCAATTTGCATGCATTAGGCATCGCAGAACTCCCATAGGGGCGAAAGTATGGTCAGTCGCTCATAGTCAGAATAGGTACTTCACCTAAGTGACATAATTAAAATTTCGCAATGTATTTCTTTACTTTCTATTGACATCCTTTAATAACCACGGAAAGTCCGCAGTGACTTAGGAAGCGGAAAAGATGAAAAGTAATATGGACACCAACGCGCAGCGATAAAGTTTTATTTAGCTTGCGTGCGCGATTTATCTGATTAATAATTATGTGGGCTATTAAACATCGGCCAGCAGACGACATCAAAGAAGTGCAACTTCTGTACGTAGTACTATTATTTATTCTATGGTAGAGCCACGCTGCAGCTATATTATAGTTGTAGCACGAATGGGTCGGCTCGACCGGGGAAGGACCACGGTCTCACAGAATACCAGCGTGAAATAGCACTTTAATACTGCTGTTTCGTATGGTGAGTGTAGCGATCCGGAAACCCTTTTTTACTGGTTACGAGGCATTCCGTCTGAGTCCTCAAGAGTGACAACGCACCTGCGTTTTGATTCTTACACATAAACACTCACGCCTGTCACCCAGAGGGGTAGGCAGAGACTACAGACTTCCATTTGGCACGATCCTGACACACCTCTCTCGCTTCCTTCACATCCATACACCTACGCATACATGCTCGTCGGTTAAGGTTACTCCTAAATTGGCCCGTTTTCAATAAATTTTCGCCTAGGACGTCCCATTCCGACTCTGCCATTCACTTCTGCACCATAAATTTTCTTTGTCACTCTTTCCTCATTCATTCTTTCCACATGACCAAACCACCGAAGCATTCCTTTCTTAATCCTGGTCACCACATCATCTTGCAAACCACACTCTTCTCTTATTACACAATTTCTTACCCTGTCATTCAGATTCAGCCCTAACATACTCCTTAACGACCGCATTTCTACTGCGTTTGTTCTACTCTCGTGCTTCTTCTGCCACACCCAACTTTCACTACCATACGTTAAAGTAGGGACCAACACAGCATTGTGAATTGCCATACGTGCCTTTTTCGACACATTTTGACTCTTCACAATAGAGTGCAAGGCCCCATTTACTCTAAATCCCGCATTCACTCGTCGTTCTATATCCTTATCATATCTCCCATCTCTGCTAAATACACAGCCCAAATATACAAACTCATCTACTTGCTCGATCAACTCCCCTTCTATTCTTATTTCACAAATCGTTTTACTTTCTTCTCTTTCAAAAACCATAACCTTCGTCTTACTTGCGTTCACTTTCATACCCCTTTCTTTTAATGATCCGTTCATTAATGTAACCATCATTTGCAACTCGGCCGCCGACGACGCAAGAATAACTTGATCATCGGCGTACAAAAGGCATTTGACGGTTAACTCACCCATTCTTAATCCGCATTCTTCAACTTTCAAATTTTGCAAACAACTGTCCATAAATAGGTTGAACAGCCACGGTTTTAATTCTTAATCGAGGATAAATGTAGATGTCTATGGGCCACAGCATCCACTCACCACCAGGCGGACTGTGCGCTCGTTTGTCACACTTATTCTATATAAAAAAGTCACTTCCATCTAAATAATTAGTCTTATTAATATTCTTATACGAAAAACCTGATAAGAATTTTCATTTTCTGTGACAATCTTGCACTATTCACTAGAGTCATAATTGCTATTACTATCTAAATCTGTTGACATGCTGCCTGGTAAAATATTTGGTAGAGCCAAAAGGTTTAAAAGTTCTCAAGAATACAAATATAACGATCCAGATCGATTTATTTCACTTATTTGTTAACAGATTAAAAAACCAAACATCAATAATATTATAACAAAATAAAAAAATACTATTGTTTACCACAATAGTATTTTTTACTCTTATAGTACAAAAATATTTAGACTAGTGTTATGCCTGTTTAAGATAATTTCCCTTTTTCCTTACTCTTCATTTTTTCATCTCGTCGAGTGTTGTAACGTCGCCCATCCTCTTTAGTTTAGCAGCAACTGTAAATTCGCATCCCGTGCTTACTAAAACGTCCTCCACTGTTACACCATCCGCTAGTTCGGTAAGAATAAGTCCTTTCTCTTTGTCAACTTCAAAAACGCACTGCAAAAAATATGGATAACATCAGATCTATTTCAACATACGAACCTCGGGAGTGTGCGTAGCAAGGAACTAATATTTTACCGACCATAGATTAGTAGATATAATTAACCATAATCGCTAGTTTTGGTAGCCAGATTAAAGATCACAGTGTTAGACGTGGGGCCATTGACGCTGCTTTCCATCGATGGTCAGGTATTTTACGTCTAACATATAGAAGATGGAAATACCTCCGTCTACCGGAGACCTTAAGTAGTTAATGTTTCCCACAATTACCTCTGAGAGTCTTAGGGCAACCACGGATCAAATGTGAAGAAATTGATGTATTTAGAACAGAGTTCTCCAAACTTTTTTGTGTCGTAGACCCCTTGCCATGGTTTTCCATGTTGGGTAGACCCCCTACTCACCTGATATTGATTTCCTGTAAATATCTAACTGTAGTGAAGTTTAGTGTTAAAAACTTAAAGTAAAAACACATGTTAATTTATACATTTATCAATTGAATTTAAATTAAAACTACTCAAAATAACATTTTGTATCTGTTATGTAAAATATACGTAACATTAAATAAATATAAAATAAACTATAAATCTTTTATAAATAATGTATATGTTTTGATATTATAAGATAGTATGATGTAATTATATAGGTACTATCAGTGTATGTGTTGAGATCCACAATCGTGGACCCCCATTTTCATTTTATGGACACCCAATTTTTTTTCGCTGACGTAGACCCCTTGCAGGTTGTCATAGACCCCTAGGGGTCGATATAGACCACTTTGGAAATCACTGATTTTGAAGATGGAAATATCACAGTCTATCGGAGATCTTAAGGGTGATGTTTCCCACAATTGCCTCTCAGGGTCTTAGGGCAACCACGGATCAAATGTGAAGAAATTGATGGATTTAGAAGATGGAAATATCACAGTCTATAGGAGAACCTAAGGTTTTGAATTTTGACGTTTCCCACAATGTGAAAAAAGTGATGGATTATATTACGCTACAAATATAATAAAAGACTTCATGACTTGTGTATTTCTTTACATATTTTATATCAAGTCGAAGACCTATTTAACTCCTGTGTAACGTTATACACATACTTTGCTGTTGCACTGTAGGTAGATTATATGTATTCAGTAAGCATATTCGTATATGGTACCATAAATTTCATAATTATACTGACATAAGTTCCATGATGGGTTGTCAATCGTATTTTCTTGGTTTTGCGCTATTATCAAAAAAAACTGCTACACATCCCCAGTTTCAATTGCCCTCCGTCACCTACCTCTTACGTCACGCACGGGATTGTAAAGGGTGGTGAATTATTTTAGGCCGCTACAGAAGTCACATATGTCGCGTATATTTGTGATTATTATGATAAAAATTGGATATATTTACAACCTGAAGTGTAACCAATAATTTTTTTTAATTTTAGTTCTTATTGATCCATAATGATTTTAAAATTATATTATAATCCGCCGTTATATATACTAAAATATCCCACAAAATTTCACAAATAAAATAAAACAAGCACCGCCAAAATCCTCCGATGTGAACTGGTCATCTTCATAGTCAATCCTGATTGTTGGCTTATTCGATATATTATCATTATAAGATAATGTAAGACAAATGTTTTGAATTCATTAGTATTCTAAGTACCTTTTCCGTAATAATCATGTCTACACAGTTTTTGCCCGTCAGAGGCAACGAACATTCCGGGAGGATTTTGTGAGCTCCATTTTTAGCGGTGTGCTCCATAGTAACCACTACCTTCGTCCTTGGTGCTGAAACTAAGTCCATTGCACCACCCATTCCCTTCACCATTTTTCCCTGAAACCAAAATACGAACATAAATTGAGCTTGAATTTATTTTATTGCAAAATCTAAGTTAAACCGACACTTTTATTAAAATTATAAAAAAAATTGTAGAGCACATTGTAGTGATTATTATAGATGCAGCACAAATGGGTCGGCTCGACTCGCACTGAATACCAGCGTAAAATAATAATAATAATAAACCAACAACTATCGAAAATACATCCTAAAGGATGGCACCGTCGACGTCTGTAGAGCTTGTCGCCATCCCGGTGAGTCGCTTAGGCATGTCATCTCCGGTTGTTCGGCGCTTTCTAACTCTGAGTACTTGGACAGGCACAACCTAGTAGCCAGAATTCTACACCAGGAGCTCGCTCTGAAATACGATCTCGTGGACCGGAAATTGCCGTAATACAAGTACTTGCCGGAAGCCGTGCTCGAAAATGACCGCACCAGGCTCTACTGGGACCGGGCCATCATCACAGACAGGACTATTCTTGCGAAAAAGCCTGATATTGTGCTGATGGATCGGGCACAGTCAAGGATATTTTTGGTCGATATTACCATTCCGTATGACGAGAACCTCGTGAAAGCCGAAACAGATAAGCAACCAAAATATCTGGACCCGACTCACGGGGTGACCGACATGTGGGGTGGTTTGCCGGCCGAAATTATTCCTGTGGTCGTCTCTGCGAATGGGCTAATTCCAGTTAGCCTCTCGGGTCATCTGAGGCGACTGGAACTCCGTGACGGACCGCTCCGGGCTCAAATGCAGAAGGAAGTGCTCGTCGATACTGCCCGCATCGTCCGTCGGTTTCTTTTCCTTTCCCCCTAACCCTCGGCCGTTTGGTCTCCCCTGCCGAGGGCTTTCATCTGGTTGGGCTTTTATTTATTTATGTATTTATTTTATTTTATGTATATTTATCTTTTAATTTTCATTTATAATTATATATTTATAGAACCCAACCAGATGAGATAACCCAAACAATAATCTTATTAAAAAAGGGGAATAAAAGAAAATGAATGTAATGTTGGCAATATTGCAAAAACTGTGTGAGTGTGGTGTATGTGTGTTTGTGTGTGCGTGCTTGCTTGCTTGCTTGCGTGCGTGCTTGCGTGCGTGCTTGCGTGCGTGCGTGCGTGTAAGTCCGCGAGCACGTGTTGATTATCGTTTAGGTGTTTCGTAACGTTAGGTTAAGGCCGTTAAGGGACAAAAATCAGAAACCCATTATACAATAACGTGACAACAAAGAGTTAAGTAAATAAGATATACCTAGATGGCTAAAGGCTTCAGATTTCACTTACGATGATGTGGATTGTGTGCTCGTTTGTCATCCTTACTGTAGTAATAGCTTCACATGCCATTATTTTGCTTTTTATTGTAATAAAAAGCAAAATAATGGTATGCTTTTTATTGTAATAAAAAGCAAAATAATGGCATGTGAAGCTATTAGGATTGGGCAGATCACTTCTCTTATTACTTAAAACCAAAGGAAGGCGACCACACCATTCCAGTATCTTCTCTAAGGGGATACCTAACTAAAATAAAACTTCAGCGTTTTCATCTAAGCTCGAATCGTAGTTGATAAAACAGGTCTTCTATCTGAAAAGGCTGGTGTTATATTCTTATTTGATTAAGAGATTTTTTTCTATTATGTTCCTCACTACAAACCACCGTCAGCTGCTGAACACAGGCCTCCCCTATGTATTGTCACAAACGAAAGAAGTGACGACCTGACAAAACCTGCGTGTTTCATCAGGTCGTCACTCCATCAATAAGGGGGGCAGCCAATATTGCGCAATCCAGTACAAGGTTGCTACTCTAAAACCTTTCTTCCCCACCAGTTGTAGGTTCGTTAAGCTACATGGGCGACCCATTTCCACTTTAGCCCACTGATCCGCTGGGCTCAGTTACTCTTGTTCTTCCGCAGATATATTCGTTATGGATTTTATCCCGCAGAGAAATTACGAGCAGTCCTTTCCATCGCACGCTGAGTGACAGCGAGCTTTCTCATACGGCCAGTAGTGTAGTACCATGTTTGAGTTGCGTGTCACATCACTGGCAACCTGCACTGGTCACACTACACTTTCGTCTTAAGATTCTGGGGGATATCGGACAGGAAGATTTGTCGCAGTTTCCCGAACGCAGACCTACCGAGCTGGATTCATCGGATGACCTCATGGTCGAAATCAGACTTACTAAATCGCTACGCCAGCAACCGTATTTTCAAGGTTTAAAGAGCATATGACAAGACGTGTCGTAATCGCACGAACGCTGCCTAGCTAAGTTAGATCCCTTGAATGACCTCTTGGTCGAAGTAGACCTGGTCAGACAATTTGTTCTAGTTACATATCGTCAACCACTTCGAGTGTAGTGTAACCAACTACCAATAGGGGTAACTGACATTGATTTTAGTCTGGCCCAGGGGTCGGCAACCTGAGGCTCGCGAGCCACATGCGGCTCTTTGTATGTAAAGCTGCGGCTCTTTAGTTCCATGCGTATATATTAATTATTTTATGAAAAAAATAATTAATAATCGTTCTTAATCGATTAACGAGTATTGGGCACAATTTCTATCTTTCAGCCACTTGTACTCGCTTTTCACCGCACCCACACACACGAAATCCACATTGGGTGAATCCAATTTGGGAAAAACACAAGTTGATACTGCATTTCTAGAAATGCAATTGATCGATTTAAAAAATAAAGTGGAGTGAAAAAAAAGAGTTGAAAAGCAAGTCTCTCAATTCTTCAAAATCAACTCTTCCAGAGTTGGAGGTCCAGAAATGTATGTACGTAACGCAATAAAAATGGACAGTTTGAAAAGAAATGCCGCGAGTTGAGGCACTTATATTCGACGCTCGGAATAGTCTTCAAGATTGCTACAGTGAGGGGAAGAAGTTGGCATTTGGAAAGCTGACTATCTTCGGATCGAAATACTCGTGCAAGCAAGCGTTCTCTTGCATGAATATAACTAAAAGTAAGTTAAGAAGCCGACTAACAAATATATAATCTAATAAATAGGTAATAATAATAGAAATTAGATTCTAATTTGTTGTGAAAAACAAGAAAACGTGAAAAATATGATGAATAAATATATATTTTTCTTATGAATAAACAGATAAGTTTTTTTTATCAAAAAACTTTTTATGCAAGTACTATTTATGGTTGGCGAGAAAAAAAATTGTGGCTCTTTAAACACTTTGAAATTTTGTTGATTGTAATTTTTGATTCTTCCGACTTAAAAGGTTGCCGACCCCTGGTCTGGCCTAATGTCAACACAAGACCATCCGTTACGAAAAACTACCGAGTTCGTTGAGCATAGTGCTTAGGCTCTCCAGGTATTCCGCCATAATAAGAATATCGTCGGCAAATCAAAGGTAAGGGATTTATTCGAAAGATTTTAATACCGAACTCTTTCCGGTCCAGTAGCTTGAAAATCCTTCCGTTGCATTGGAAGAGGTCTGGACATGTACTCGGATAGACATCGTAGTGCTTACAATATAAATCACTCAGCAGTACGATATATTGACTGTCAACTTGGCACCGCTGAAGGGACTGTAGCACCGAATAAATTTCGACCGAATCAAAGGCCTTCTAACAATCCACACAAGCAACACATAGCCACCACATTTATTAAAAATATTAAATATATATAAAATATTAAAAAAATATTTAAACTCATACTATTACTGTACTGCTCACATTAAAATGCTATTTGAATTAATAACAAACACCGATATTCAAGTCAACAAGTCTATACCAAAACAACCTTGACTTTTAACGTAGATACTTCACATCATTTATATTAATACATTAACATATTAAACACATTTGCATTTTAGATACAACAATAACAAGCATTTAACTAGCTTTGCAGCATATTAAAATAATATGAAATTCTTTACAATATATGATTACGACTTAGGGATCTTTCCTAAAACAAAAGCTAAATTTACTTTAATGTAAACATGTTTTAATGTACAGTAAATTGGGACATGTAAAACGCGATAAGAAGATAATTACTTGCTAAATTTGTAATAGTACTTTAAATCAACATAAATATTAGAACTTAAATTATTACATTTATATAACTATCCTTACAGGAATCATCCAATTCGCCAAGTCACCATATTGTGATACTTGCATTGCACCAAGTATAGTAAGATCAATATGCCCCCCGCGTATCATTGCGAAACTGTCGTCTGATGAAAAGAATGACGCACCTGTAACAAATTATTTTTATTTGCCTGTGTATTCTTCTGATGTCCCATTAATAGCTTTTTAAGTCATGCATATTCATTTTTTATATACCAGAGACCTGATTGCTGAAACCACGGGAAATGATAGTTACATTTTATCGTCGGCGATCAGTTGCGGACGGTGGGCGATTGGTAGTTGTGAAGATATAACGACAAGATTTTAAAGTAAACAATCGTTGGATTGTGCCGTATTCGCCAATATTGTTTTTTCAATCGATTTGGCACATACTATAGTTCTAGCAGCAGTGCTGTTGGGAGACACAAATTTGATCTATTCATCGCGCGCGACTTAATTTAGTGTTAGACGTTGTTTAGTTAGTGTATAATGTATATTTATAAATGATCGAAGGACACAGTTGTCTATAAAAGAAGCCTAATTAATGTTTCAAATGTAAATAAAATATAGATACATGTATGTGTGTATGTAAATAGTTGATTTTTTGCCTTTGTGTGTGTAGCGATAAATACAATCAATAAACTTTAAATACACCTTTATTTGATTTATAATTTATATTAAGGTTAAAATAACGTTTCATCAATTATAATAAAAAATAATCAATTTTATTTGGTTTTAAAAAGTACATGCCATAAAATATTTTTAGGATTATAGAAAGTCATAAGCCTGAAAAGTATGAAAAAGCGTTAATTGATTTTTCTTTACTGCTTTACTTTATTTTAGTTTAAAATGCGAATTATTACGAAATAATGTTCTTATATAGCACGCGGTCTATCCAATGAACGACATGTAATGTAACGTGCTACGAGATATAGCATGCTGCAAAACTTAACGCGCTTGCCGGCCTCACGCTTTCTTATAAATAGCGCGCTATAACAGCGTATTTAATAGCGCGCGAGAAATTTATAGTTTATAGTCTGTAGCGTGCTATTGATTTATAGTCGTTTTGAACAAATTTAGTTACACGTGCCGAGTCAGAAGAGATAAGAATTACGCGATAAAAAGAGAGGCACCTTATATATGAATATAATATAAGACACTAAGCGCTGGGCCAGCTGAATTACACTCTATTGCGTCTTAGCAAGAATAACTTTTATTTAAATGTTTTATCATAGTGATCCTGTATCTTGAGTACTATTAATTATTCTGTGCTACTACTACAAGTACCAAAAAGGAAATTCTCTATTATTAAAAGAGGCCCAAACAAACGATTAAATGATAGCAATTTCGTAGCCATTGATATGTTAACAGATCTGAATACAAAACCTTATATAATTGTACAGCTGATAAATGTAAAATGAAAGAATAAAATAAAAAATAAACAATGCTACAAGCATTGAGCTATTATGTACTATGTGTACTAGAGGCGACCCTGCATTCAGCTACTCTGTTCCACTCAACTGCGGTGTAGTACTGGGTCGTTTCAGGTTTTTTGTAAAACGAAACGAAACTGTTTTTTTGAAATGAGAAACAGTTCTGAGAAACAGTTTAAAAAAAAACAGTTTTTCAAAAAAATCCCGCCAGTGTACGTAACGACTTCACCATATGTTTGTTTACAAAATAATAAAGCGAACTTCCCTTCATACTTTTTCCAGGCTTAGGATTGGCTGATAAATGTTACGGGCGTATTTAAAAGTTCATTTTATATACACGTTTTCATTATTTACACTATCTACAATATTAGAACAAAAGATATTTACAAATTAAATCGGTTTTATCGGTATATTACATAACTACTAAACAATTAATATTTACAATATATCACATAAAACACTTTTCGCGCGTAAACATACAGTCAATTTTTTGCAAATTCAAAATTAGCTCTTTGTTACATGAACAGCTAGTGGACAGATTAGACAAATGTGGTATACGTGGCCCCTTACTTAATTGGTGCCATAATTTCTTGAAGAACCGAAAATCGTTTGTGAAAATTGAAAATAACTACAGCGAGCCGATGTTGATAACAGAGGGAACAGCACAAGGTTCGGTACTAGGACCCTTGCACTTTTTGTCCTACGTCAATGACATGGGCAACTACATCGTCAATTGCACATGCTACCAGTTTGCAGATGACACTTGTCTTGTAATCGGAATGATAAAAATCCACAAAAGGCATGTGACCTTTTGCAATCTGACCTAGATATCCAAGTAAAGGTGTATCAAGGTGGTGCCATGATGCTGGGCTTTTCCTTAATGATAGTAAAACTAAGTTGTTAGTAATTAAATCTCCATACCTAAAACCCACTTCAATAAAAAAAAATAGTTGCAAACAACCACATCTGCCTACATAATAACCGCGCTGCTGAATGCTGCTGCCCAGCAATTGAGATAGTTGACACACAAACGTATCTGGGACTAGTTATTGACAGTAAATTAAATTGGAGCCAGCATATTGACCGTGTATGTACTAAACTAAGACAGTTTTTAGCAAATATCACTATTCTCAATAATCGCATTCCTTTTAAAATAAAGTTAATGTTATATAATGCACTTGCGGAGTCGCACATTCAATACGGGCTAAGTAGCTACGGCCGAACTTACAAAACATATCTTGACCAGATCCATAGTTTACAAGTAAGAATACTCAATACTATAGTTCCAAATAAAATAAAAAATAAATTCAGGGATGACGTTAATGGTCTCTTTAAACATTGTAAAATTTTACCAATACATATACAAGTACAAAATGTTTTATTAAAAGAACAATTTTTTAATGAATCGCTAAAAATCCCGATTGAGCATTCTGTAAACACTCGAGCAATTTCTAAAAACCGTCTCAACGAGCCGCGTGCTTGCAATGCGTACGGTAAGAGAACATGTAGCTACTTAATACCTCGGCTTATCAATAACTTACCATCAGATTTAGTGGACAATATCACTAAAAGTAACATTAGATGTAAACTAAAGGGTCACTTTCTTAAATTTTAAAAGTTTTTTGTTTGTTTTTCCTTTTTATAGTATCTGCAATACAACATAACGCTATATTATTTTATAAAATTGTAATCTCTCGATAGCTTAAGTATAAACCTTAGTGGAGAACTATATTCATATCGTTCGTTTTTAAACCTAAGATGGATCTTCGAGAAACTGTTCGTTCGTTTTTCTTTGACTAACTGTTTTTTAAAAGTGTTTCTGAATAAAACGCCCAGTACTACTGCAGTGCATACACCGCACTTTAATCAGTCACTAGCTAGGTGCTTGTAGAGTTGTCACGTGTTGAGTTGATTTAAAAAAAATCTCTTGATAAAAATATGCCGTCGTGTGTACTTAGATATTGCACAAATAATTCAAGATATGTCAGTAAAAACCAAGGAATTACTTTTCATCGGTTAATAAGATACTTAATCAATAAAAAAGTATTATAGAACAATAATAAAACAAATTATTCCTAAGACGCCATCTCGTGTCATGGAATATAGATTATGAAATTAATATGTTCAGATGCGACATTTCTGTGGGTACTTAAGTATAGGACGAATATATTATTATACACATTTTTTTGTAGAAACATATATAGGTTATTATAATTAGGCAAAATGTTTCAGTTTTCAATTTGCTTATTATTCTTTCATTTTATTTTTGGGTTTCCACATCAAAGTCAAAGTGGTATAAATTCGTCCATTTTTAACTCTCGCGTGCCCAGCATTTAAGAACGACTCTTATTCTAATTTAAGTAAACATATTTGTAATTTAAATGTTACACTAATAAGTTTTGTTAAACATACATTTAGTATGTTTTTTATATTTGACATAGATACCTTTTAAAATATTCAGACAAAAATAACATTAAAATGTAATTGTGATGTAATATTATGTAATGGTGTATTAAATAAGCAAATATAATATACAAAATAAATGACAAAATTTAAATATTGTTCTCGATATAATTTATCTATGTAACAATACAATCTACCTACTACCTACGGGTCATTCTACCTATTCTACCTATGTTTATTCTATGATAAAAAATAACCGCGGGAACACAGAGTAGCGCACATTTTTTGTTTGAGATAGCTGTTCTAGTACGTAAGTACATATTACTTCAATGGCTACAAGTCAGCAACAGGTAATATTTAGTATGACATAATCAATATTAAAAAAAAATATTTTTATACTTAAAATTTTACACAAAAATGTTTTAAATTATAATAATAAAATAAAAATGTTAAAAATTCTAAAATAAATCTCTAATCTTGAAGTCAAAAAAATTACTATTTCAAGATTAACTAAGGCATCAAGACAATTTTTAATATGTGCTTACCAGGAAGGACTGTAACAGTTTCTTTGCCAGCATTAATAAGATCAGCATCAACTTCTTCTTCTTTGGGGAAGGGACCAAGGCCAAGAATACCATTTTCTGATTGCAAAAAAACTTTAACATTTTTTGGAATATAATTGCTGGCAAGCATAGGCATTCCTGTAACAAAAAACGTAAATATTAACTGATTGAAATAAAAAATTGTATCATTTATGCATAATATCATATTCTTAATAGTAACAAACTTACCAATTCCAAGATTAGCATGCATTCCATCTTTAAACTCTAAAGCAGCTCTTCTTATTATTTTTTCCCTCATTATGTCCGATGATTTCTTCTCTTTGTGTACAATTTGTTTAGTAACTGTTCTTCTTTCAATACGTTTCTCATATTTATTACCTTTGATTACTCTATGCACATAAATAGATGGTATATGCACAAAATCAGGATTAATATCATCAACAATTTCTTCTACTTCAGCAATTGTAACTTTAGCCGCTCTACACATTGCTGGATTGAAGTTACGGGCACTTTTTCTAAATATTAGATTCCCATATTTGTCTGCTTTCCAGGCTTTCACTAAAGCAAAATCTCCAGTTATTGCCTCCTCCATAATGAAGTCTTTACCATTAAATTGTTGTTCCAATCGAGGGGAACTAGAAATATCAATCTGAAAAGTATATTGCCTTAATAGATAACTATTGATTTGGATTAGGGTTTCGCAATAAAAATTATTCTAACACACCCTTTTTAATAGTTATTTTTTAAATAAAGTATTAAAATATTGTTACATATTATCGGTACCTAATTTACCTATTAATTCATCTATTAAAAATCAGTAGTAATTTATAATGATTTATTATACATACTATTACTATTATACATACACAATACACGAATAAAAAAACGACTACAAATTGAATAAAAATAACTTTACTAATTCTATTGAAATTAATAAAACGACAACCTAGTGTACAATAACATAGTAAAACTTTATAAAATAAACTAGAAATTAATAAAAAATATAAAGAATTGATGAGATATGTCTATCTCTATATATAATATTCCAATATAATTTAGTTAAATCGCGACGTTCAACGTTCACATTGTTTTTCAATAACTGCTCAAGTATGTATTCACATCTTTTTTTTTTCATATCTATATTATTAATAATTGGAATAGAAGTTTTCACACTAAAACAGCTATTACGTTTTTTTTTTTGTTTTTGAACTTCCTGCTACGAAAATCAATAATATTCAAAAAATCGGGAAGTTAGGTTTCACCCCAAAATCGAGGTTTCATCAGATCTCGGCGTTTTGAGGTCCCAGGAAGCTAATCTGACTATTCCTACGAGGATGTCACTATGTCCATGTGTGTGTGTGTAAACCCCTCATAAATTTTGAACGGCTTGACCAATTTGAACGAATTTGGTGGCGTTCTAAAAGGTTTCACCAAACTTAGATTTTCAATACTGTTTCAACCGATTTCGACCAGTAGATTTTGAGAAATATCAAAAATAAATTTTTTTAAAAAATGTTTTTTTGGAATGATTTAAAAAACAAATGTACCGATCCATTACAAAATCTAATTAGATTTCTTAAACATGGAAAACGACTTCGATTGCTGCGAACCGCTTCAAAATCAGTTAATGTGGTGAAGAGAAATCGATGATGAAAATTTTGAAGTGTTTTTTTCACATAACTTTTGAATTTACAGTCTAATCGTTTTTATAATAGATTTGATTATTGTTCCTAAAAAATACCTCATCGATTGTCACCAATTATATCAAAACCGGTTGATCCGTTCGAAAGATATCATTGTTAAAGAAATCAAGTGTTTTTTTAAACTTCGAAACTTTTTTACGAAAATATTTCGTTAAAACATACTGTACTTAATGAAATAAATTCTAAAAACAATTCAGACAAAAACCTTACAGAGCAAACGTCATCCAGTGTGCAGCAGCAAGCAATAGTAACCTTCAATATTTGGTAGAGTGAATTCATCAAATTGAATGGAAAATTTGAAAGTCTTTCAGAAATCTTCCGCGTACGACCTCTCTATGGAATAGTTTACCACCGGCGATTTTTCTGGACCGATACGACCTGAGGACCTTCAAGAAAAGAGCTTACTTCTTTCTAAAGGGCCGGCAACACACTTACAATTCCCCTGGTGTTGCGGTTGTTCATGAGCAGCGGTAGTCACTTAACATCAGGTGAGCCGCATGCCCGTTTGCCCCCTCTTCTATAAAAAAAAACACAACAATATTCCAACATCTTTTGCTATTTCATTTCTTCTTTTTTTGCAGTAAGAGTAACTTGTCTGATGATTTGTGATTGTACCTTATGACAAAGAATGTTTTATATTATCATTTTGTCTGCTGACAAAATTAATTCCTGACCAATTTTGTGTTTTCTTCCTGCTTTGTGATTAACAATAAAATGTTATATGATGTGGCTCATAGTCCTTTATTATCTTGTTACAAAGACGACTCAAAAAAGTTTGACACAATTGACTGTTTTAAATATTTCTTTTCGAGTACTTGAAATTATGATAAATCTTTTTTTTTCAACACACATTTAATTCATTTGCTCTTGTAGATTAGAAACTTTCATAGCTTCATTTGAAAATATTTTTATAGGACCACAAATATTAATATAATTGTAAAATAATATAAATAAGAATATGTAAGGTACCTAATGCTAACTTAGAAATGCTTATTAATGTAATAATAATAATATAATATACTTATTTGAAGTATGTGAGAACTGTACTTGATAAAAAAAATTCAATACTGCAAATACAAATTTAAGAATATTTAGCTACTGTTAGAGTACCCCAATGCTGTCCCTCTTGACTATCTCAATGCCATCCCCCCTCCCTTTAACTTTGTTTCAATAATACTATACTCTTAAGAATGTTGATACATACTTTTCCATCCTTAGTGTACTTAATGGGTGAACCACCTTCATGTATTAGTGTACCATAGCCTGTAGGTGTAAAAAATGCTGGTATACCAGCTCCACCAGCACGAATTCTTTCAGCTAATGTCCCTTGAGGAGTAAGTTCCACCTTTAAAACAATAAATATTTTCTTATTAAAGAAAGTAATTAATTTTAATTTCATCACAATTGTTAATCATTATTTTTTAAGTTTTTATCACATGTCTGAGGAAAAAGTACAATAATATGTAGAGGGAACTGTGCAAATGCTTTTAACATGATTGGAAGGGACCAGTAAAAGACCATCACCTGATCTAATCCAGTGCATCTTGTAACAGCAGACAATAGCAAATGTGAAGATATCATAATCTCTGACATATAAATTTATAACAATCTTGTATGTACCTGATGTAATATATACAACATGTAACATAATTAACCCACTTTGGGAAAGTAGTTTGTTCAGAATCGTTTACTGAATCGATTCCTATCGTTTTTAATATAGGTAATTTTTTATCCCAAAAACGATTAAAACTACGTAAATTACAGTTATACTAAATCTGTACAGTCAAAACAAACTGAAATGGACCGTAACTTAAGGCAATAAGACTTGTAAGAGTGCAGTTTTATTTGTATTATTACTAATTTTGTCATTCATTAAAAATAAAGAAAAAATAAAGAAATATATATATATATATATATATATATATATATATATATATATATATATATATATATATATGTATATATAAGGACTATATCGTCGGCAAATCGAAGGTGAATGATGTACTCGCCATTGATGTTAATACCGTATCCTTTCCAGTCCAGTAGCTTGAAAACGTCTTCCAATGCAGCGGCGAAGAGTTTCGGGGATATAACGTCACCGTGTCTTACACCTCTCTGCAGTTAAATAGGTTTCGAGCTCTGGTTCTGTACTCGGATAGCCATCGTAGCCCTACTGTACAAACACTTCAGAACTTCGATATACCGACAGTCAACTTGGCACTGCTGAAGGGACTGTAGCACCGCCCAAATTTCAACGGAATCAAAGGCTTTCTCATAGTCCACATACGCCAGGCAAAGTGGCAGATTGTACTCTTCAGTCTTCTGTACAATCTGCCGCAGGGTATGTATGTGGTCTATGGTACTGAAGACTTTTCGGAAACCGGCTTGTTCGGGAGGCTGGAAGTCGTCGAGTCTGCGTGCGAGACGATTCGTAATGACTCTCGAAAACAGCACGTAGACGCGGCTCAGAAGGGAAATCGGTCTGTAGTTCTTTAAGAGAGCGTTGTCGCCTTTCTTAAAGAACAAGACCACCGCACTTCTGCACCACGCCTCTGGAGTAGTGCCACCATGGAGGACGGAATTGAAGAGCTTCTGAAGGACTTAAAGTACCGGTGTTCCACCCGCTTTCAGAAGCTCCGCTGTAATTCCATCCTCGCCTGGGGCCCTGCCGTTTTTAAGGTGCTGGAGAGCCATTCTAATCCCGCTTAGACTGACGTCCGGGATATCATCGGAATAGTGTCGGATAAGACTTGCTCTTGGATCGTTACTCACACTTGCGTGTGGCTCCAACGATGATGTGTACAGCTGCCCATAGAACCTCTCAATCTCACTCAAAATCTCAGGTGTCCCGGAAACGATGCTGCCACACTCAGTCTTCAGCTTCAACAGTTGGCTCTTACTGGCAGACAGATCTCTGGCAAAGACTTTGGAGCCCTGGTTCCGCTCAATCGCTTCTTTAATACGAGCAGTATTAAAGTTGCGTAAGTCTCGCCGCATGCATTTGGAGATCTGTCTGTTCAGTTGCCTGTATGCTGTCAAATCTGTTGACGATTGCAGCCTCATCTCCCATCTAACAGCCATGAGATTAAGAGTGTGATCGGAGAGTTTTTGTGTTCTTCTGCGGCGGGTCTTGCAGAACTTAGCTCCGACCGCATGGACAGTTTCCACGAGCTTGTCATTCATATCGTCCACTGCATTGCAATCTTCTAGGCACTGAAAGTGGTTACGTAACTCGAGCTGAAAGTTTTCGGGATTCTGGATTAGAGCACGAGGGGGACGGAGCGGTGACTTCATTAGATGAGACCTCTCCAACTTAACGATTAAGTTCAGTGTGCCTCTAACCATTCGGTGATCGCTGCCAGTTTTCACCCTTGCGATCACTGAGACATCACTGAACAGTTGGCGTCTGGTCGTCATAATGAAGTCAATCTCATTTTTTGTCGAACCGTCGGGGCTCGACCAGGTCCACTTCCTGTGGGGCCGCTTCTGGAAGAAAGAGTTCATCATAAAGAGTCCCTCTTTCTCCATAAAGTCGGCCAGCTGCTGGCCCCTTCGGTTCCGTTGCCCTACTCCAAATTTCCCTAACTTCAGCTCACCGTTTTCTCTTGAGCCTAGTTTTGCGTTGAAGTCTCCTATCAACACCGTGTAGAGAGTTTTGGAGGAATGCATGGCTTTGGAAATATCCTCATACATTTCCTCCACCTCCTCATCGGGATGTGCCGAGGTTGGTGCGTAAACCTGGATGACCTTCAGCGAATACCGTTTGGTGATTCTGAGTATCAGGTACGCGACCCTCGTCGACACACTCCCAATCTTTACAACGTTGTTGACGAGAGACTTGTGGACGATAAATCCGACACCTCCTTGGGACAGATGGTCGCCCTCCCGGTGATAGAACAAGTTGCCGGATTCGAGAATCACCGTGTCCTCCCCCTCTCTTCGGACCTCGGATAATCCTATAATATTCCAGCGCAACTTGTCTATCTCTTCTTCCAGCTCCAGGATCTTCTCGTCAGTCCTCAGAGTGCGTGCGTTAAATGTTGCCAGGTCGAGTCGTCGTAGGTGGCAAACGAACCTCAACCGGAGATTCTTAGCACCCCCTGCCCCGCCGTTACCATGGTCGCCACCGTAGCCAGGAATAGCGGGGCCGCCGGGGACTGGGGGCCGTCTATTTGTGTAATTGTTCATGGGGGGTATATTGCCATAGTTGCCACGCTTGGCGAGCGGGTTGGCAACCGCAGTTTTTTTTTGTCATACAGTTGCTGTTATCAGGAAGATGCTGCTGCCCATCTCCTGCCTGTCTCCCTCTGTCGCCTCTTACGACACCCACGGGAAGATATGGGGTAGTGGATATTCTTAACCGCCACTACACGGCAGACCATATAGTCCTTATGACAGAATCGCTGGAGGACTTAAGCACTATGCTCAATGACCTCAATAGTGCCTCCCAACGGATAGGTCTTAAGATGAACATGGACAAAACAAAGATCATGTTCAATGTCCATGTCACACCTATGCCGGTAGTTGTTGGGAGCACTATGCTCGAAGTTGTTGACGAGTACGTTTACCTGGGACAAATAGTCCGACTAGGTAAGTCCAACTTCGACCGAGAGGTCAATCGACGGATTCAACTCGGCTGGGCAGCGTTCGGGAAATTACGACATATATTCTCGTCAGGTATACCTTAATCTCTAAAAACTAGATTGTACAACCAGTGCGTGTTGCCAGTGATGACTTACGGATCTGAGATGTGGTCCTTCACTGCTGGCCGTATGAGGATGCTCAAGGTCGCTCAGCGAGCTATGGAGAGGGCTTTGCTCGGAGTTTCTCTGCGTGATAGACTCAGAAATGAGGATATCCGCAGTAAAACCAGAGTGACCGACATAGCCCAACGGATTAGTAAGCTGAAGTGGCAATGGACCGGCCATATAGCTCGAAGAACCGATAACCGATGGGGAAGAAAGGTTCTTGAGTGGCAGTGTAGGCGTAGTGTAGGGCGACCCCCCACTAGATGGAGTGACGACCTGGTAAGATATGCAGGAAGTCGATGGATGCAGGTGGCTCAGGACCGTGCTTTGTGGCATTACTTGGGGGAGGCCTATGGTCAGCAGTGGACTTGTGAAGGGCTGTAATGATGATGATGATGATATATATATACAATATGTAATGTAATTAACGCACACCCTTAGAGACCCCAATTACTATATTATGTTATAATCATAATACATACACTGAATTTTTAGTTAAACATTTTATGAACTGATTATTTATCAAATTAGTTATACTAATTCCGGAAAAATGTTGTGGTCACAGTACAAATCCACGAACACAAACACTTTAACATTCTTTGAAATAAAGTTCATTTTTCGTTATTTTTATTGAATGACAGAATTAGTAATAATACAAATAAAACTGCACTCTTAAAAGTCTTATTGCCTTAAGTTATGGTACATTTCAGTTTGTTTTGACTGTACAGATTTAGTGGGACTGTAATTTACGTATTTTTAATTATTTTTAGGATAAAAAATTACCTATATTAAAAATGATAGGAATCGATTCAGTAAATGATTCTGAACAAACTAATTTCTCAAAGTGCGCTAATTATGTTACATGTTGTATATATATATATATATATATATTATATATATATATATATATAGAGAGAGAGAGAGAGAGAGAGAGAGAGAGAAGTGAACTGTTTAGAGGCTGATAGTGAAAAAATAAAAGTAGGATTTACTATATGCCGTAATCCTTCCAACTCAACAGGCTTTTAAGAATTGATGATAATCACTTATGTGGTAGAGCCATGCTGCAGTTGTATTAGAAGTATAGTTGTAGCTCGAATGGGTCGGCTTGACTGGGGAGGGACCACGCTCTCACAGAATACCAGCGTGAAATAGTAGCTTAATGCTACTGTATTTCATATGGTGAGTGTAGAGAACCGGAGACCCTTTTTACTGGAAATGAGGCATTCCATCTTAGTCCTCACGGGTGACAACGCATCTGCATTTTAATTCGTAATTGAGGATTGATGTAGATGACTATGGGCCACAGAAACCACTTACCATCAGGTGGACTGTGTGCTCGTTTGTCACCCTATCCTATAAAAAAAATCATTATTGTTTTTTTTTTTAAGTTACCCATATATGATTTTTTCCTGTATCATAAAGGCATTTCACTTACATAAATTGCACATACACAAACTTTCAAACCTATAACAATTACTTGCGGTCTCCAGAAATTGTGGTTCCATGCAGGTTAAAAACCGTGGCCATTGAGCTGTAGCGAAACAATTAGTCTCTGCAATACCTAGCTTTCAATATTGTTAGATATTTAATCATTTATATACCTAATCAGATCAACTTTACCTCTAATTCTCCACTCAAAAACTGTCTTTCAAATTCAGCATTTTCTCCAACATATGATGCAATCATTCGCTTAATTTGTCTATTTTTCAACAATATACCTAGTCCAAAATCTTCAACACCTAAAATCAAGAGATAATATATAAAATCAAACATTACTTTCTGTTCTGTATGTATGTGTGTTTCTCCAATTATTATTCTATATACCTGCATTATTAGAAACAACAGTTAAATTCTTTACATTCCTTTTATTAATAGCTTGAATAAGATTTTCTGGAATTCCACAAAGTCCAAATCCACCAACCAAAAGTTTTGATCCATCTTCAATATCCTTTACAGCATCATTTATATTATTGAATATTTTATTTCTTCGACTTGCAGTACTATAGGACGCAAATGTCAATATCTATAAATGAATATATAATAAATTTGTTTAGTGTAAATTGGCTGGGCTTTAGACATGGCAAACCCAAATATTGAGTACATATTTTTGTGGTAGACATGGTGGGTAAAAATGTGTTATATATGTTTATTATATAAAATAAAATTAGTTTCGACATGGAAATAGTTTTAACTGTTAACTATTTTTTATAAAGTTAAAGTTATTTTTATTATATAAAATGTACACTTGTACACTTATGTCAAAGGAGGAAGATTATTGAAAAAAATCTTTGTTCTAAATTTTCTTGAATATGACAGGTCTTTGAGAGCTAAAATTTTGTACACACAAACATAAAGTGTGGATATTTCCTTGTAAATTGGTCATTGTAAAATGTTAACTCTGAGAAGTTAATTAGAAGGTGAGCCAGCTTTTATAATGTAAAGATGGCAGTAGATTTTAAATGTTGAAGTTGAAAAAAATACAAATGGGTATTATCAACTTAAAAGTGTAAGGCCTTAAACTCACAATGTAATGTAATTCTAAATTGAATAATGATGTGTCATAGTGAAATAATTAAATCTTACATCTTACAAATACTTTTCACTTACCTTCCTAACGTGACAAAACTTTATATCCGGTGGATAATTTAATTTTAGGACCATAAAACTTCGAGCCGTTGCAGACATCATTTATCACTATCTCTATCACTAATATTGGAGTGGAGCTATGCTATATTTTAAGTTCTTGCTATAATTATAGATAGATATAACTTCCAACTTATTTATTTAAATATTACCGATACAGATAAGCTATGGACCGGTACCACAAAATTCACAAGACTTAAGCCGACGCTTTTGATTAAATTCTGAGGCCGTCTCAATCTCACAACAAGGAACTATTCTTTACTTTACATTCAAATTTTTAGGTATAAATTAAAACATATTGCAAAGCAGACTATATTAAAGTGTTTATGTATTAAAATTATATCTCGTGACAGTAATAATTAAATTCTCTTTTTTAGAAGTTACAAACAAAACACTCGTCACAAATATATTGCGAAAACTTTTTATTTGTTTTCCGTTGGTACCTATATAGATAAATAAATATGTAGCAAGCTACTATATAGTATATACGTTATTCGTATTTGTACCACAGACTAGGGATCACTAGGGATGTTCAATGATGATCGATGTTATAAATTAAAACATCGACATTTTCACTCCGATGCTGCCACAAGTTAAACATCGAAACATCGATGTTGCCACATGTCAAACATCGAAACATCGATCAATGAACCAATAATCGATTAATAAGAACTTTTTTTATAGGAAAAGGTTAACTAACGAGCACACAGTCCACCTGATGGTAAGTGGTTGCTGTGGCCCATAGACATCTACATCTATCCTCGTTTGCGAATCAAATTGTAGATGCGTTGTCAGCCTTGAGGACTAAGATGGAATGCCTCTTTTCGAGTAAAAAGGGTCTCCGGTTCTTTACACTTACCATACGAAACCAGCAGCATTAAGCTGCTATTTGACGCTTGTATTCTGTGAGTGCGTGATCGCTCCCCGGTCCAGCCGACCCATTCGTGCTACAACTATACATCTAATATAACTGCAGCATGGCTCTACCACGTAAAAAAACGTTTCTCTGACTCCTAAATGCATCGATCACCTACAAAAATATCATTATGTTGTGTCAAACTCCCTGTCAAGTGTGAACTGTAATGTCACAGTTGTAACTGCTTTCGCTTTGTTATTCTGTGGTCTCGTTGCCGGTTGTCGCGTAATAACTATTCTACATAAATTGATATTCAAATTAATTGTTTTTCCCTTGCTGTCTATACTTACATAATTTTGAAACAATTTGTTGCTACATAATTCAATTATATTTAGCTGTTTTGAGCTATCCCAAGCTCAACGAGCTTATTGTTTTCTTGAAGTTTATGAAAATAAATCACTGGGCGATCGTGAGCTTAGACTATTTCACTGCATAGTGCATTCTACATTGCATTTTATAAACGGCTGAGGATACTTATTGCTTGGGCTGCCTGATTAAAAATTGTGAACAAAGGTGACGGAAAAGTCCATTATTTTGTTTTTGTGAAGTTTGTTAATTTTCCCTCTATAATCATATTTTTTATTTCGCGATAGGAGTAGCTAATATAAAACTTACGTCTAAATCGTATCTATCGTATCATAACCCATAGTAAATTTTTTTGTACCAGATTTATGATTGTACATTTAAAGATCAAAATAATGGCATTCATCATTATCGGCAAAACATATAACAAATGAACTAAATATTTGTTAAGATTTTTTCATTTTTTTAAATACTGTTTGACACTAAATGTTTTATTAATTTCTTTCATTTCATTAATAGTAAACTATAAAAAACACTACAAAATTTTTTGTTCACCTAATTTTAACCTAATAAATAAACATCGCACATCGATGTTAAGCTATCGATATCAACATCGATGTCATCGTCGATGTTTCTGCAACATCGATCATCCCTACCACAGATCACTATAGTTCGTACCAAATCGATTGAAAAAAACGGACATTGATCTTTCGGTCGTTTAACCAGGGGCTACAAATCTTCAATATATAGGCACTTTTTATATGTAGTACTTTCTTTATTTATAATGATTTTTTTATAATGATTGATATAATATATATTTATTAACTATTATTAAAAAGTTATGTAAAAGATCGCTGCAAAAGAAAAATCATCTATTGTTATAAAATACTTTATTCATTTAACAACAAAAGCATTAATTTATAACACATATAAAGATTCGAGTTATAACGACACCGAATAAGTATGTACTTATTGAAAAGATAAAACTATATTTTGAATATTATAAGAACTTTTTTTTATTCGGTGCATGCGGGCTGGCCCAAAAAAAGTGATGCATCTCTGGCTGCCATTTTCACGTTTCTTTTAGAACGAACTGACGTAACGCTCGTTTTGTTTATTTTAAAGGGATGAATCTGCAAAAGCTCAATATGGTGATTACATTGCTTCAAATATTTTTTTTTACTTACCATAAATTGAAAAATAAAATATAACACATGTTTCGAGATGTACCGTAAGATTTTACGATGTTTATAGGAACCATAGACTATATTATTTAAGAAACAAAAAAACAAAACATATGTGCTGACCTAGCAGTGTGAATAATATAAATATTTAAATATTGTTATCACATCTAAATTGAGATTTTGTAAGTTACGCCTTTTGACACTCTGCTCATATCTGAGGTCATCGTCCGTTTTTCTCAATCGATTTGGCAAGAACTATACTATATACTATGCTAGCAGTCTACGATACGATTGTACGAAAAGAAACTATGGAGTGTAGAGTATGGAGGTTAGAGAAGTATGGAGTGTGGAGGTAAGGAGTACAGACTCTGTATAAAAGTGTCCGTAGGAAAACGTTATGCCCCATTTGCATTCAGCCCGTTTGGGCAGGGAAGTGAGCAGGGCAGTGAGCAGGGCAGTATGTAAACAGGCTACTCGCGCTGACACTGCCACTGCCCGACGATCCCTCAAATGTCGGTTTTTCGTGCGGAAGTCAAAGGACGGCAGCGCGAGCGGCAGTGAGTGTTCACATTCAGCTCCATCGCTCACTTCGCGCTAAGCGCCTGGATGAACGGACGTGCGTGCCGTCTTGTTATTAAATAAGTACGATCTACCAAAATGCCTTTCGAGCGGAATAATGAAAATACAATAAAGTTTTTAGAACTGCTGGAATCAGAAAAAACTATATGGGATTTCAACGATAAAAACTACAATTCATCATCTTCTACGAATACGAATTTTCTTTTTGAGATAACATTGTACCTATGTACATAATTAATTATAAATTCATCAAATTTATTATTTTAATATAAAATTTAGTTTAAGGAATTAATGAACATTGACATTTTATTTCTAAAAACGATTAGTAACTCATATTGACTATTTATTTATTAAAATGTAAAATAAGTTAAATGGTAATATTTGCATAATAGCCTGAGATTTTTAAATTATAATTTTATTGCAATTAAAATTATGAATTATTTTATACTGTAGTGTAATTATTAAAATAATAATAGCTTAACTAATCTCATATAATATTTAATATTATTTATGTAACAATAATGTAATAATTCAATTAATAATTTAGGAACAATTTATTGTATAAGAATTAAAATAGAGTGGATCTGTATAAGTATTTCATTAATACATAATATTTTAATTCAAAAAGAATGTTTGCACCTAACTTTTACGCAATGCAATAATTTTAAAATATAACATTGGGTTTGTGTAATTAGCTGTATTTCATATCATTTTTGCATGCCAATTATGGCAAAACATGTCAGTTCCACGTCATTGATCATTTATTTATTTATTTATTATTTTTTGTACACCACAATACAGAAACAAAAAAAAAGTATGTACAATAGGCGGTCTTATCACTGAAAGTGATTTATTCCAGACAACCTATGCGTAGAGGAATGATGCAAACAAAAGTTACAAATAGAGGGGGGCATACAAAATAATAATAAAAAAATACAATAATACATACAAATAAAAGTAAGTGAAAGTTATATATAAAATATCATAATATATAAAATATCATAATATATAAAATATCATGATCATCTTATGTACCACGTTTATATAATAAATTTTCTATCTATATATCTATCTTCTTTTGAACTTGATATCTTTTTAAATTATTAACATAATTTTGTATTGCAAGAAGACACAGCGCGGACGCTGTAATTATTTCGACGTCTGCCATAGTCGAAAGCCGAAAGCGATGTGAGTGGTAGGGCAGAGTGTGAATACACCCTTCCCGCGATCCTGCTACGGCAGTATTTAGGGAAGTATTGCCGGCAGCGCGAGGAGCAGTGGCAGTGGCTGAATGTAAATGGGGCTTTAAATAAGGATGGCGCCACTGTAGCTACAGTCTAAATTTTATAGAACTTTTTATAATTTTTTCGTTGCATAATAGACTTTCACCGTAATTCTTTTTACAATAATTTTATTTCATCCAAAATTTTTATCTTCAAAATCACTTTCAACGTATGTTACGGCAATTTAACGTACCCTACAGCTACTCGAGCGCTGTTGGGGAGAGTTTTTGAACTGTTATTTACTGCTTACAGAAGTACACATTTAACACATTCAACTATTCTCCTTTAGAATAGAATAGAATAATTTTTATTCAATATAGATTACAAGTAATTCTTATTGAAAGTCAATATTTTACTTTACCACTGGTTAAAAAAACCTCTGTCCTGGGAAGAACCAGCAAGAAACCCTGCGGGAATATTTTTTTAATAAATTTTACAATGTCAAGGGTCACAAAATATTAACAAAATTGATTATAGAAACAGCTTGGAAGCGACCACCTCATTCTCAGGGGTTATTATCAACCATGTATTCATTTATATCATAATAACCTTTTTTATATAGTTTTTGTTTAATTAAATATTTAAACTTGATAATAGAGAGACCTTGTATATTTTCTGGGAATTTGTTGTAATAGCATATAAATTGCCCCAAGAATTAATTACTGACTCTGTGGAGTCGAGCAACTGGTAGCACCAGCTTGTGTTTGTTCCTGGCGTTATCTAAGTGTATAATACTTTTTTACTAAAACTACCTTTGTGAACATACATCAAATTTTC